AGATCATGCAGTCAATTGATCTGAAGTTTTCTATCTAAGGAAAACCAGTTGGTTGTATTGACTCAATGCAATCCTGCACACCAAGCATGCTTGTAGTGACAGTGGAGAGGAAAAACTCCCTTTTAACAGGAAGAAACAGTTAAGTAAAATAATAATAATTGAACTTTATTGATCTCACATTTGAGAAATCTACCTCTGCTTTTAACCCATCCCCTTGTGGAGCAGTGGGCTGCCATTGTATGGAGCTCGGGGAGCAGTTGGGGTTAAGGGTTTTGCTTAGGAACCCAGCTTGGAGGCTGTGGGGATTGAACCTTGCTCTTTTAACCCTCTTGGAACACAAGCGCACTGTTCTAAACCACTTGGCCAACACTCTCCTAATAATCCCCCAGTCACCTAAAAAGGTCATGTTTTTATCTACTCGGTGCAGATTCTCATCCGCAGCTCTGTCCTGCTTTTCCCAGTAATGCTCTTATTGAACCAGGCCATCATGTGGGTCAGGAAGGAAGGCAAGTTTAGGAAAACCATTACTTCCATTGTCAAAGCATCTTTGTTAGTCATTAAACTTGAACCAGTCTAAGCAATGTGATCAAAACTCACCTTTAATCGGTTAGGTTGGTTTTAATTTGATCTGTAGCTATTATATCAGTTAGCTGCTAAAAAAACATACCAAGATTTATATTTTTTTTCAATATTGAAACCAGGAAAATTATCAGTCTTTGACTTCCTGAACTTGTAAAGAAGTGTTTTAAACTTGAATGTGCTGCTGAAGTCAGGAACGAAGTGCTGAGAAAGCAGTGCCTCGGGTGCATTAGTGGCCTTGTCTACTCTCATCATGTCAGCCATTGCTGTCAGTTTATCAGCTTTGTGTTTTTCTTGCTGTGCGGCATCCACTTCTGTATTTAGTTTTATTTTTTTGCATCAGAGCAGCAGAACAAGTCTTTGCTTCACTCAAAGCGTGTTGCGTTTCTCTGTATTTAACCCCTAAGCTTTCAGCCAGTTTAGGTGGCGGCATGTTGGAGTTAATTTGCAGTTTTAGTTTTTCTTTTGTTTCTGCTTTTTGCTGTGTCTCCTGCATACCCTGAAGAAAACTGCTGCTGGGACTTTCTAAGGAGTTCTTTAATACATTTCATTTATTTTAAATGGTTGCAGATAAATCAACAGATTTTCCACATGAGGACTTTCATCACCCTGCTTCTCCTCTTCCATCGTCTCAGTCTAGGGAGACATCCTCATCTTTGTAGGTCTGCAGTTGGTCCATTATCTCTCCGTGTTCAGATGATGGACTGAACTGAGCTCTGGGAGATTATCAAAGCCTGGAATATAGTTTTAGCACCTTATCCTGCTTTAAACTGAACCAGAACTACCATTCTTATCTGTCAGCTCAGTTCTTTGGAAATTGGAAATTTTTTATACATTTAGCTGCAATAAACGTTTCGTCCAAGCTTAAATTTATAAAGATATTAAAGAAACAAAATAAGCTTTTTTTGGCTGTACCAAAGGCTGAGTGTCAGTCAGCTGGATTCTGTACCATAATCTATGGACATCTGGATAATAGGCTGATTCAACGACCTGATCGCATTATGAGGGGAAAATTGTTAATGGTGAAAAGCAGGTTCTAAGTGGTCAGAAGGAGATGCACTAATTGTTTAATTAATCCTAACTCCAACTACAGTGTTGTACTAATTGTCCATATGAGAAGTGACCGATATAGTTATGTGAAGAGTTGGGAAGAAGGATTCAATTACAGCGTTCTCTCTCACCCCCACACCCTGGGTCTGTAGCAGTTTAAAGTGGTTTTGGATGGCAGGTTGTCAGGGGTGGGAAAATGCAAGACACAGCATCCCTTCTCCTCAAACTGGTATTTGAAGAGACAAAAAGGAGTTAAAAGAGAAGCAGAAGTTTTTTTACTTCACTCCCAGGCCTGCATCTAGAGCAGAATGCTGCCCCAACGTAACACAGACTCCAGTTCAGCTGGAGTCTGTGGGAAGCTCTGAATCCTTCATCTGACGTTTAGTTGGCAGGAAGGATTTAAAGCTAGTTCCATCAGCAGCTGATGGATTCCAACCTGTTTATTGTGATAACCAACTAACCAAGGCTGCAGCAGTTTAAACTAAAGGAAAACGGTCTGAAATGCATTAGGTTATAATACAGAATTCATAAAAAAAAAAGCAGATATTGCTCTTAAATGATTTAGCAACAGTATGTAGATCATGACTAAAGTAAGAGTAGCTTGTTTTCACAAACTTTAAAAAAAAATGTGCTGCCCATTAGAATTCCAAACCCTTTTTTCTTGTAGACCAAACTAAAGTGCAGTTTAACTGATTGCATTTAGATTTCCCCCTTCAGCTGTGCTGAATTTAATGAGTCTGAACTGCAGAGTTATAGCAGATGGGTTAAGTCAGAGATTCACAAGCCAAGTTGGAACGGCCTATTCAAAGTCAGAACCTAACCTTATCATGAATATTTAATTAGGTTTGACCACAACTGTTTTTTTGTTGCTTTCTTCTCAGCCTGATCAAACTCTATCTGTTTAAGAAAGAAAAAATAATAAATGTTTAATGCTCTGTTAAATGAAAAAATCGGAACCCAGTGGTCTTGAAAAGGAGCAGATGCAGTCTTTGCCCATGTTCTGGTCCAACCAGTGATTTTACTACTTCATACTCAGGAACTTGGAAGCTTCACATGCAGCTTAAGCTCCTGTCACACCTTGCCGGGTTTAGTCAGTCTATGCCTGACGTCCAATGATGGCAAAAGTACTGACTTTCCGTACTTGAGTAAAAGTACAGATACTTGTGTTAAAAAATACTCTGGTAAAAGTGGAAGTACTGATTAAACTTTTTTACTTAAGTAAAAGTAACAAAGTACAGGCTTGTAAATTTACTTAAAGTATAAAAGTAAAAGTAGAAACCACTTTTTTCATGCCGTTGCCTACATTTTAAATGGATGTCTGCCAATAGGACTAGATCTCCGTTGTGTTCATTTTCAATCATCTCGTCGTCCATACTACTATGCTAACGCCACCGCCACCAAGCTGCAATGATGACGAATGAATACCGCCGAATCTGTCGATTCATCTTGTAGTGGTGCGTCAAATGCAACGTAGATTCCCATCCAATTAGATTGAATTCGGTATTGATGACGTGAAAAATAATAACGGTAACTCCATTGAAATGATTCAAAACTAAAGTAACGAGCCAATTTTTTAAAATGTAAGGAGTAGAAAGTACAGATATTTGTGTAAAAATGTAAGGAGTAGAAGTACAAAGTCGCCATAAAAATAAGTAGGAAAGTAAAGTAAATATCAGAAAAATCTACTTGAGTACAGTAACGAAGTATTTGTACTTCGTTACTTCCCATCTCTGCTGACGTCCCAGAATCGTCTATATAGCTTTCTATGTATTTTTTTACAATTTTGGGTGTATACATAGAGTATTCATTATGGGGCCAACGAAAGCCTACCTTATGCATAACGCAAGGCTGCGTAATGCCCATGAAATGATGCCAGCATCCCTGAGGCCAGTGTCCTGAGGGGGGCAGCAATGTACCAGCAGGCGCCCAGCCTCCAAAAAATGATGCTTTTCATCAGTATTAACGTAGCAGTTTACCCAACGCCAAACAAAAAGAGAAAAGAAAAGGAAAGAAAGAAGGTTTGCAGTTGCAGCAGATTCCGTGTCATGTCTGTTAGGAAGTTTGTTGGTCATGGCCATAAACGCTGGGAGGATCCAATACGCCATTATACAGTAGCTTTTAGGATAATTATCATTGACATCACTGACCATTAAAGTTAGAAACATGTTCAGCTGTCATCTGGAACACATCAAATACGTTGATATGAGTTTGAGATAAGTTACGCATTACTTACTCATAGGTTTTGGATAAGCTGCTCTAAATTTTTTGACGTACTTGCCGTTTATTGACGTGTGCCAGCATGCTTCAGCATGTTCATAACTGACCGTTAACTTATCCAACATATGCCAGTGTTTTTGCCAGATTTTTCGTTAATCTGGCATATGCTGGCTAAAGCTTCAAGGTGTGACAGGGGCTTTAATCAAAACAGTTTGCACACAGTTTTCCCACCAACTAAGGGATGATGGATACCCTTGAAGCTAACAGAATCTAGCTCCATCCCAAAACATCTCACGCTGGAAAACAGCTTCTCAGGTGTTAAGTCGAGCCTCACTCCTAGCCTCGACTAGCAGCTGTGTGGCCCGAGCAAATACTTATGTGTAGTAAAGAAAACAAAACAGGCTCACATTTGGAGGGGAAAATGGAGGAATAGATGATTAGACGATTTTATCTTTTTAAAGAGTTCTGAAGAGTCTGACTTTGATTATGTGGGAAGAAGTTTCAGAAGAACAGAGTCTTTTTCTTGCTTGATTGTTAATTAAACAAAGGGAACGTAGTTATGTTTATAGCACAGTGATGCTCTAATTTGTTCTTCGTTCTTGGCATGGTGATGATTCTGGATTCATTTGGTCCAGTCTTTGTGTTCTTTAAGGTATTCCAGGGGATTGTTGAAAGCTGCTCAGCTCGTTTTATGTCTGTTTTTCCTCTATGAGAATAAAACCCAGCTCACTTCTCTTTTTTTTCCCTTTCTGTCTTCTAATAGGCTCATCTTTCTCTCCCTCCGTCTCTCATGCATCTGAATAAAGCAGCTAATGGTGCATGGAAATGGTGGCACCGCAGTCACGACTTTAGACAATTTCTGTTTTGTGTTTTAATATGTAAGTGAAAAAGCACGTTTACGAGGACACAACGCTCCGTCATCACTTCATTTATCATGACACGCAGGAAGAGCTTAATGACCAGCATGAGAAGTGCTACCAAACTGTAACTCATTTACACTCTGATGCTGTTTTTTTTCAGCTTTGCTTTCATGCAAGAATATTTCTAATTATCATTGGAAATATTCTAGTTTCTAATTGAATCATTTCTAAGATAATTGATAAGAGAATAAAATGTGTAACAGTTCGTTCTATGATGTTTTTACTTGTCGGCAGGTTTACATCCGCATCCTGGATAACGAGTGGAATGTCTATAGACGTTACACCGAGTTCAGAGAGCTTCACAACCAGCTGAGAATCCAGTTTCCACAAGTGGACACCTTCAACTTTCCACCTAAGAAAGCCATCGGGAACAAGGTGAGATCACTGCGTGACTCAGGTCAGGGCTGAGGATACGGCTGATGCAGAGATTACTGTACAGGTTGCTGTGTGCCGGAGCGTCCGAAAATAAAAATAGTCGCATTTAGAAGGTTGGTTCAACAACCAGTCACTGTAGCATTATTAAGCATCTCATTGTCCCGATTAATGTGATGGTGCATGGTGTACATCAGAATATGACTGAACATGACTCATTACATGCGCTACCACAGAAAAACAGTCAATTACATTTATTACTGTATATACAAAAAATGTAAGAATTTTTTATCAGTCAGAAAAGCAGCAATTGATTACACAGCTAGAAAATAATTGAACATGTCAAAAATAACAGGTTTAATACTGTTTACTATATTGTGTTTATTTCAGATTTATCTATAGACCATAGTTGTTTTTTTTACTGCATAGTGAACATATTTGTTTTAGTTGTTGTTAAAGGTATAGGATATTTGCAAATTTTTAAAACACCCGCCCTCTCCTCTTAAAAAAAAAGCACATGCACAACCCTGTACCCGCTCTTGAGAAGGAACGCCTATTAAGCGTGTGCGTGAGCATGCACAAGCCCATTTCTCCTGGTGCATGCTCTGTTTAAAAGTTGCTGTTTGCATCGCTCAGACAAGCTTACTTTCCAAAAGAGGATTTGCAATTTTTCCACTATGTCAGACTCACTACCGGTAAATAATAATGGGGAAGAACACGTAGGATGGCCTTACATAAACAAGAATGATACCTTTAACTGGTTGATAAAGGAATAGTCAATAATATAAAGGTATATGGCTCAATAAAGTATAAAGTATTAATAAACTTAAAGTAGTTGATCTTTAGTTGGGCTTTCTGTGTGGAATAGGCTTCTTTAAGCTGCCAGCTTCTATGCTAAATTGAAAAAACCCGTCCCACAAGAGTCAAAACATGCAGAAATCAACAGGTCTTTAAATTAGATGTGTAACTTTAGTATGTATGTTGGGATCAGTGGTGCAGTGTTCTGGGTGAATTTTTTTGTTGTCAATTGTGTTGTATAGAGAGAGTATGATTTAAGTATTTGGACAGTGACACAATCTACATGATTTGTGCTCACCTTCCCACCTAACTGAATTTGAATCAAAATGATCACACTGGAACTGAAGTGAATCTTTAAGGTTTAGCTAAAGGGTTTGGACAAAAAATGTATGATTAGAAATTGTTGCTGTTTTTATAGATAAGCTCCTCATTTCAGGGGCTCTAACATAAGTGGACAAAAAAACATAAACCTACGTAAAATCTTCCAACTTTTTAAACTTTTTTGATACTTTGTTGAGAATTGTTTGGAGGCAGTGAAATCTGGAACCCATGGACATCACCCAACGCTGCATTTCTCTCCCTTAAGGTGCTTTGCCAGGCATTTACTAAAGCTGTCTTTAGTTGTGGCTTTTTGTGGGTCTTTCTGCCTTAAAGGAATAGTACACCCAAAACATGATTAGCCTTCATTTTCTACTCACCCCCATGCTGAACAACACTCTGGAGTACTTTTTTGA